GCGAGCAGTTGTTTTGAGTTTTTTGATCGCCTCACTATGTTTATTTGTGTTTTTTTTTGTAATTAGTTTTATTATATATAGAATTGAAACAATAAGTGAAACAAATATCATCACCTCCAACCGCTATTCAAAAATGAAAATCTCAATGTTAAGAACAGGATGCTGTTATATAACCAAGTAATTCGACCGTCACGTCTATATTGAAGTGTAGCGTCCGCAAACACTACTATTCGCCAGCTAGAAATTGCACAACGTCAGACTCTGAGAAAACTTTTCAAGGTACCAAGGCACATTAAGAAGAATGACATCCACAGGGACCTCAAGGTTGATGAAATCAAAAATACATAAAGGATAGAGCCCTGAAACTATTTACGAAAATTGACAGGCTTACCAACACTGCGTTATCGAATCTCAGAATGGTTACAGACTCTTCGGGGAGGTATGTAGATCTGAGGTCAATTGTTGCTTAGTCTGATGAAGTGATAAATAATAATCCCGTCAAGCCATAAAGAGAGGTTAATGGAGAGTAAAAGTGCTCAAGTGCACCGACTCAACTAGTCTAAACATAATAATAAAGAAACTAGTTTTTAGATAACTAACAAAAAATTTAAATTTAATTAGATTTATTTCACGATTTCATGCACTATTAAATCAACTGTAGTACATTTCAGTTATTTGAGTCCAAAGAGGATTTTTGCGGCAACTAAGTCTATCTTGGTGTATTTTGGAATTGGTGTGAATTTCTTCCTGTACTGTTGACACTCCGAGGTCACGAAGCAAGTCAAAATCCCTTACGTACCATGACGTATTTGTTACACTACATACCAAAAAATTTTGGAAGCTACACTAAATGATCGATATAAAACAGATATGAATTTGACAATAATTTTATAAGGCTGACTTTAAGATTTAATTTTAAAACCACTAAAATATTGGTTCTGTGCGTATTGCATGCAATTCTTCAAACTCTTCAAACTCTTTATTTTGGTTTATAGTTAGGTTAGACTCTTCTGGCCGCAGTACCAACAGTTGGGAGATTGTATGCTAATAATTTTAATAATAGATATTGAAGTTAGACATAAAAAGAATATGTAAAAACTATTTTGTAAAGAGACTAAGTTTGTGATGAATTCTATGTAAATTACAAATATGTCATAATAATAGTAATAATAATAGTTAGACACTGAAGAGATTAGTTAATTAAATTTCATTAAATTGACGTCCAAGACCACTGATGATGGGTATTTGGCAATACTCGAAACAGCTGTATGGTCAGCCAAAAATTCAATTAATTAAAATAATATAAAATGAATTTTTGTTGTTGTAGTTCACTACTGTTCTAGAGACCTCTTTATTAAATTGACATATGAAAAGAATTGAACTTATAAAAGTCATAGTAAAACTAAAAAAAAATTAACTAATATATAAAATCAAATAATATATAGAACTTTATAATTATATTGTGTGTTAAGAACTTATTGCATTTATATATTTTTCATTAAATTGGTGAATAATAATCATTTATAAATCTGATAAATATTTCTTAAAATATATATTTTTAAGCTGAAAAACAGGAATAAGAAACTAATTAAAGCTCCTACCATATAATATCAAAAACGAGTATTGTGTAACATGTCTCTCTATTAAGTTATTGTACTTAAATGCTCTGGTAAACAAATACAGAGTCTGAAATAATCGATTACACTTCATATGCAATCTAAAGATACATTTTTTTTATCAGTAAATCCAGTTTCTCGGTTGTCTAAGTCGGTTAAGGAAATGCTTTGTATAATGAGTAAATTTTTAGAAATTTTTAATCTACGACAAAAAACAAAATAAATCCGAAAACGATTTTCAACCAAATAAGTTTGCCTTAGTCCCATTTTCACCGAGACACTTGCGGTTTTCGCGCCATTTCTGTTCGCAATGAGCTTGAGCTGGACTAATTTCTTTCCAGTAGTCAAAGTGGAACAAACAATAAAAAAGTAGATTTGCTGGAATTGCAGTTTTGCAGTTCTTTTTTTGGTGTCATGCATCTTTTTTATGAGCTGCACTTTTTCGTACTGAGATACACATATTTGTATCTACTAAATTACTTGAGTCTGACGCTAGTGTTAATCCATTGGGAAGTGCTAAATTTTAATGAGTCTCGGCAAAATTGGCTACTTTATGTAATAATTTTTGTTTCTTAATTTAATGGCAACTAAATTAACTAGTCGTACTCGTATGCCTAAAAGGTAGCCTGAAAACGTTACCTGCTTGATCAGATTTCAACAATTATTATTGTACGATTGGATTTTTGATATATCTATTAGAAAAGATTTCAACAATTATTGCAACGATAATAGCTCCACGGCAATTATAATATAATAACTACTCAATAGCCTCTTTGGAATATGTGGAAATCACTTAATGCGAATATATGTAATAAGAAAATATTTAAGTATCACCGATGATGTTGCATGATGTTTGCAGAATTGAATGTTTTGATAATTACTTTTTATTTTTTATAGGTATTTTATTTATTCGTTTAGGAGCTTTTATGCTTTAAGCGTTATGTAATTGATTACAAATTCAAAAAATTGTTTAAATATTAATCTCAATTTAAATGTGTTGAAAGAGTAAAAGATAAACACATTCGAATATCGAAAGTCATTTTTAATATATAAAAATTAGGCAATATACTGTTTAATGTAGGTCTAGTAGGTCTTGGAATATTGTTGACCATTTACCATTACAAATCAGAATCTACACAGAAAATTTCAAAATCAAAAACTCTTACATTAATTATAGAAGATATTTATTGAACAAAGTCAGGCTCTGAGAAGACTTTTCAAGGTACCATGGTACATTAGGACGAATGACATACTCAGGGACCTCAAGGTTGATCAAATCAAAAAGTACATAAAGGATAGAGCCCTGAAATAATTTACGAAAATTGACAGGCTTACCAACACTGCGTTATCGAATCTCAGAATGGTTACAGACT